GAGTCGTGGCACAGTCCAGAAACTGCCTCACTTCAAAGAGACATGGGCCAGACTGAGAGGGTGGAAGTCGTGAGGGCTCCTGCAAGCATAAATAAAAGATGAGGGGACGTAGCCACTGTCATGCTTCTTAGTTTTTTCCATATTCTTCATGAAAATAAAAAAATGCATCTTTTCGCCACCGCATAAATGCATGCCAGGGTTGTATTTTATGGAAAATTGCACGCATTTTTTTAAAATGATGTTGTCAGTATGAACTGTTGCTACTATAGACTGCAATAGTCCTGCTCCAGAATAACCCCCCCCAAAATAGAGGAATTGATTTTTAACTAACTTTGAAATTGCTAAAGAAAGACCTACTGTGAGCTACGGGGCTGTTAATAAATGATGCATACTTTTGCTAAAGCTGTTAATCCACATTATTTTATTTTTAAAACAATCCTGTTTAACAGTGGAATTCCTAAAAAAAAACATTTCCCATGATTCTGCAAAGAAATCTCCTCCAATTAAAAAATCAAAACAAGCAAATCACTACAAAATAACCCTTTAGCGCCCGCCAATTCCCAAGAATCACTGCAAATGACAATCAGCCTCCCTACACGGTCAAATAACTTAAATATAGGTATATTATATTGCATGTGAATATTTTGCAATACATGTAAAATATACTATTTCTATCTGCACAATCTTTAACTTGCAATGCTTCATGGTATTGTAGTTCTTTCCCTCATTAAAGCCTATAAGTACACAGTCTTTTACGCAATGACTTTCTATCCAATTTCATTTTATTTATTATTTTTTTGCATCAAATCAAAGTTTGTAATGTCTTGCTTCACCTCGTAGCTGGTTAGTTTGGTTCATGGATTATACATTTTTTAATAAAAACTTTAAAAAAAAAACCTATTAATGACAAAATTACCAAGGCTACTGAAAAAATGCAAAAGAGTTGTGTGATGATTCATCAAGATATTTTTCCAGAGAAATATGGCTTTTTATAGGTATCACCTGAGATGTGGGTGCTGGTTTGGGTGCCTCTGAGCTGCTGCCTCCGCTGAAAGCACCTGTGATGGCACTGCCCACCACATGCCCTACGGCCGAGCCGACTGCCACTCCAGCAGCTGTGGTGGCCATCTGGGCCATGAGACCTGGCTGCTTGGGCTGGGCCGTGGCAGGGGCCATTGCCATCGGAGGAGGTGGTGGTGCGGGGGCTGGAGCGTAGGATGGGGCAGGAGCACTGAGAAGAATACAAGGTGAAATATGTTATAAAATAACCAAGTATAAAACCCACTATAAAATCCCATAAAAGTAGCTCATCTTGGCATATGCCTTGTAAAGAATATACATAGAAAATAGGATATAAAGAATATATTTTACATGAACCTGAATCAGTATCTCATGATGAAGACGTGTCTTTGAGCTGCTTTTGGCAACTTCAGATGGAAAGAAGATAAAGTCTTAAACCTGGTTTGCGTCATAGGCTATCAAATGACAGACATTACGCATAAATAAATACATTTAAATAAATAAGTACTAAGCAGCTATTAAGGGTTTTCCACTTAGAATATCATGTTTTTGGTTCGACCTTTCACCTAAGTTACTGCTCTGGATGTATTTGGGATACGCAAAAGGAATAAGCAAACAAACAATCAAGTATTCAGTCTAATATTTTTTTATGAGCAGTCCCCTACATTTAGTCAAAGTTAGCTTGCAGGTGCGTTACAAAACTATCAGCCAAAGTGTCTGAGATACCTCGCTGGTGCCGGTGAAAGATGACTGCGACTTCCTCTTGCCATTCCAAAAGTAGATAGAAACCGCAATCAATCCCCAGGTATTATTATAAAGTCGCAAACAAGCGCGAAGGTAGTTAAATCCACTCTATCCACGCACAGACTACTGAATGACAGCCGGTAGACGCACGTGCCTTTGACCTTGTGTTGTTAGTTATACATTCGTGGCGCATGCGCGCGTCAGTGTTCTACAAAAGCGCAGTGAATTTTTTTTTCACGCGATTAGTTATTTTTATGTAAATGTATGATATGTAACCGTTCCATTTACCCTTATGAGATTTCTAAAATTGTATAAGCTACCATGGTAGAACATTCTCTCTTATAAGATGTGTGTGACGTTCAATATGCCAGATTTCATGTAGAGTGATTTGTCTTTTATTTCGTTTCGTTTTCTAAGTTCATCTGTTTGCAAATCCGAAAACATTCCTTATATTTTAATAAACAAACTTTTTTGCTAAACAGAAACACATTTGAAGGCGCTAGATCATCTTATGTCACAATCATTCCCACTAGATGGCACTAAAATATCAGTATTGGAAGCATCGTTGTGAACTCAGTGCCTTTTGAACTGTCAAAATGGGGCAATTTCAGTTCTGCACAAAATAGAGAGATTATTTAGGGAGGGGGGGGGGGGGGGGTG